ACAGCTTTCCCAAGGGAAGGATGGGTAATCTCCATCCATGTGATTTATTGCCTCTGAAAAACTCCTGGATGGTCAGCTATGAGTTGGTTCTGACTAAACAGCACAAAACAACAAACAATTATACACATAGAAACTTAATAACTTGGATTGACTTATTAATAATATAGCTATCCTAACTCACCCAATAAGGAATAGATAACCTAAATAGCCCTATAGCTATTAAGTAAATTAAATATGTAATTTTATTATTTCCAAAAAGAAATCTTCAGGCCCAGGAAGCTTTACTAGAAAATTTTACTAAAGGATTAAAAGCAATTTTACATAAAAAAAAAAAAAAAAGAAATCCCTCTGTGGTCATCTCATTCTTATCCATTCACATTCTCATTTGTTAAGTATTTGAGCAAAAGGTGGAAAGAAGTACAGCTAATTATGAATCCAAGTAAAATTATATTCTTGACCACGTCAGTCTTTGCTCATATTACATGTTGGTAAAGGTGAGGATCTTTGTTTTCTTAATATTGAAGGCTGTAGTCTTTGATCTTCTGTAGTGTTTCAAGTCTTCTTCACTCTCTGTGAGAATGATTATGTCATCTGTCTGAGGCAGATTGCTGATGACTCTTCCTCCATCCTGATGCCACATTTGTCTCCATATAGTCTTCCCTCTTGAATGGTTTGCTTAGCATGTTACTGTTTTTAGGTGCCTTCGAGTCACTTGCGACTCAGAGCGACCCTGTGTACTATAGCCCTGAAACCTGCTCTATGTTTTTGTCACCTTTACTGTCTCTGACACACTTACTCTCATTACCCCAGTCACTGAATCAGTGTCAGCTGATAAGTAGGAGAAAGGATACAACTCTGATGCACCTTCTCTGATTTGAAACCTTGCAGTGTTCCTTTGTTCTGTTTGGACATCTGCTTCTTGTTCAGTGTGTAGGTTTTACATGAGGACAATTAAGTGTTTTCAAATTCCCATTCTTCTCAGCATTAACTATAATTGTTAGCATTCGTTAATAATTAGAACATGACAATATACAAAGTATAAATCTAAGAAAATCGAAAGTTGGTGAAATGAAATGCTCAAAGATTGACATCCTGTGCTCGCTTCGGCTGCACATATACTAAAATTGGAACGATACAGAGAAGATTAGCATGGCTCCTGCACAAGGACGATACACACATTTGTGAAGGATCCCTTATTTTTTTTTTTTAAAAGACCAGCAGCATCTTCTTGTGAACTGAGATAGAAGATGAGAAATACTATTTAGTAAAATGAAGATGATTCCAGAGAGCAGCCCTTTAAAGTAATTGAATTCATGCCACATTTATGAGTACCTTCTGTGAACCAGCCCTTTGTTAAAGAATGAGGGAGTGAGAGCAGAAATAACAAGACTGTAATTTCTGCCTACATGGAATTCACTGTGTAGAAAAAGAAAAATGGTGTGACCAGCTGTTACACAACTCCTTTTCATTGTGGCCAGCCAACTTCAGAGCACCACCAGATCTTGCCTAGATTACCATCAGAGGCTCTGTTTCCTAACTGATCTTGTGTTCTCTCCTTTCTCCCCTTAAGTCTGTACTCAACACAGTGGTGTTGTTGTTGTTGTTGTTATGTGTTATGTTATGCCTACGACTCATACAGCCCTGTGTACATTAGCTCTGAATCCTGAGCTAATCTAATCATCTCTTACAGACCTAATCCCATTTCTCTGAGTTACCCTAGGTTTTCCTCTCACATGGCCTTTCCACCCTTCAAGCATGATGTCCTTCTCCAAGGACTGTTTCCTCTTTCCCACATGCCCTAAGTATATGCAACAGAGCTTCAAAATCCTTGCCTCCAGCTTGGTTTCTCTCTCTCTAGGACAGACCTGTTTGTTCTCCTGGCAGTTCACAGTATGTTCAACACTATTCTCCAGCACCTCTACTCAAATGCATTTATTCTTCTTCTGTCATTCTTAGTCATTGTCCACCTCTCTGACTCATAGCAAGTAATTGCAAGGACCATGGCCTGCATCAGGCACACCTTGGTCTCCAGACTGACATCGTCACTTTTTGGTAATCTAGAGAGGTCCCTGATAGCAGACTCTCCAATGAAATTCTTCTTTTGATTTCCTGACTGCTAGTGCCAAGGGTGTTACTTGTGCAACCAAGCAAGCTGAAGCTGTTAACAATCTCAGTCTCTTCTCTATCTGTCATGAAGCTGCCAGTTGGACTGGTGATGAGAATATGTTTTCTTGATGCTGAAGTTCAATCCATATTGAAGACTACAGCCCTTGACTTTCTGCAGCAAATGGCTCATGTCTTCCTCAGTTTTAGCAAGCAAGGTTGTGTCATCTGCATAATACAGGTTGTTGAGTCTTCCTCCAGGGCATGCAATTGGAACCCACCGTCACTGTCATTTCCCTGTTTAGAGCCCTTTGTGTCTTCTTATCTCATTTGTCCTTTGTCCTGCAAAGAAAGCTCTGAAAGACATGATCTTCCTCCTCTGTCCCTCTACTGTAGCCACAGACCTCTCTTCTATGACCTGGACATTGCTATGTGTCTGCCTCCAGGCCTGCTAATGCACAGATCACTCACTCCCCTCTCTGAGGTCTTTCCCAAAAGGCTACACTGCCCCCAGCACCCACTACCCTCCTTCTCTGTTTAACTTTCCCCCTTAACCTCTGACACCTTGTGTATTTTACTTCTTTCTTACAGGGGGCTCTGGTGGCATGGTCTCTAGGGGGTTGTGCTGCTAACACAAAGGTGGTATATGTCTCCGACAGTTTGCTTCTGCCAGAAGGTCTTGGGAGAAAAATGGGCCATCTCCTCTTGTGTGATTCACAGCCTTTGAAAACCTGCTGGAGAGGCAGCTGTGAGTCAGTTCCAGCTTGATTAGCAGTGAGTGAGTGCAATCAATCTTGTTTATGGTGCATCTTCTAGAACTAGAAAGTAACATCAAAACAGGCTTTTTCATCTTTATTTACTCCTGTGTCAACATGTAGAGTAGGGCTTAGCATATATACTGTACACTATATATATATGTGATGAACAGATGAATGACTTATGGAAGGGTCTTCACTTGTTCTGTGATCTCAGAGGAATAGAATCACAGTATCTTTGTTTATCCTACAGTCCACATGAAGTCACACAGAATTGCTAAGTCTTAGCTCTTTTTTAAAAATACTAACAGAGTTCATTTATGT